AGTAAACATTGTATGTGTGTCAGTAAACATTGTATGTGTGTCAGTTAACATTGTACATGTGTCAGTAACATTATGTGTGTGCGTGTAAACATTGCATGTGTGCAAGTAAACATTGTATGTGTGTCAGTAAACATTGTATGTGTGTCAGTAAACATTGTACATGTGTCTGTAGACATTGTATTTGTGTCAGTAACATTGTATGTGTGCCTGTAAACATTGTATGTGTGTCAGTAACATTGTATGTGTTCCTGTAAACATCGGTGTGTTCCTGTAAACATTGTATGTTTGTCACTTACATTGTACATGTGTCTGTAAACATTGTATGTGTGTCTGTAAACATTGTATGTGTATCACTAACATTGTATGTGTGCCTGTAAACATCGTGTGTGTGCCTGTAAACATTGAACATGTGCCTGTAAACATTGTATGTGTGTCAGTAAACATTGTATATATGCCTGTAAACATTGTATGTGTGCCTGTAAACAATGTATGTGTGTCTGTAACATTGTGTACATGCCTGTAAACATTGTATGTGTGTCAGTAAACATTGTACATGTGTCAGTAACATTGTATGTGTGCCTGTAAACATTGTATGTGTGTCAGTAACATTGTATGTGTTCCTGTAAACATCGGTGTGTTCCTGTAAACATTGTATGTTTGTCACTTACATTGTACATGTGTCTGTAAACATTGTATGTGTGTCTGTAAACATTGTATGTGTATCACTAACATTGTATGTGTGCCTGTAAACATTGTACATGTGTCTGTAAACATTGTATGTGTGTCAGTAACATTGTACATGTGTCTTTAAACATTGTATGTGTGTCAGTAAACATTATGTGTGTGCCTGTCAACTTTGTATGTGTGTCACTAACATTGCACTTAGTAATTCAAATCTTCCTGCGTCCATGGTGCGTTGTCCATGAATCCTCTATCCTGAAACAATTCTTGTCACTGAAAGTACTTGAGTGATCTTTCTCGACTTTGATATGTTAGTTCCCTTGGTTCTTAGTTGTGTACTTAGTTGTGTATTAGTTGTGTACTTAGTTGTGTATTAGTTGTGTATTAGTTGTGTACTTAGTTGTGTATTAGTTGTGTACTTAGTTGTGTATTAGTTGTGTACTTAGTTGTGTATTAGTTGTGTACTTAGTTGTGTATATTTACAGAGAAATAAAATGACCGACAGGCAGCAATCTTTGTTTTTTACCTTTAAGGTTTGTTATTGCTATTTCTCATAAAGTAGTGGCGGTATCTTTCTCAAATCTATTCTAATTTGTAGTTTCTCTTGATATGTAGTTGTGAATGTTAATATTTTAGGATGTTCTGAAAATCAAAATGGCTGCCCAATGGCCATTTTGGATTTTGACAGTAAAGTTTTTTTTCTATTTTTCAGGGGAAAAAATCATAGGGAAAATTTCTTTAATTTCATATGTATAATGTTCGGAAAAACAAACTGGCCAACCAGAGGTTTTGACAATTACCGTTTGCTATTACTATTTCTCAGAAAGCACTGGAAGAATCTTTCTCAAACCTAATATGTCAGTCTCCTAAATGCATGCATGTTTACTTTTAAGACTGATTTGAAAACTGTTTTTATCACTATTTCTCAGAAAGAACTCGGATGGATTGTTTTCAAATTTCATATGGAGTTCCCCTTGTTAATTATACCCCTGGTCCAAATTATAATTTGTCATTAACAGCACCTATAATTATGTAAGAATTTTAGCATTTTGCATATAGTTATTCAATTCTTATACAGTAACATTTGCCATAGTGCCACACCATATGACATTACAAGGTTGAAGTTAATGTACAAGATTCCCGTTTACGATGTCCAGCAAAGGGCTGGGTGATGGAACCTGTAAGGAAATTGAAAAGCAAAGACGATAAAACATCATTTCAATGGTGGGCACCAATTGCAAGATCTTTTCAAGATCTCTTGTTTGTGAAGGCATTTCTAACTGATTGTGGTGACTCCAAGCTGTTTATGTGGTGGATATAATCACCTTGTGAGTACTGTATGTCTGTTTATGTGGTGGTTATAACCACCTTGTGGGAACATATAGGATATACTGTATGTTTGTTTTTATTCATTATTAAAGGATATGCAAGCCAAGAGATTTGTTGTGGAAAAAATTGCAAAGAGGAAAAGGGAACTGAGACGAATGCGTTCGGAAGATTATGAAAGGTTTTTGTGGCTAATGAAGGAACTGGAAATTAAATATGTGGCACCTTCTGTGCACAATCGAAAGGAGACGAAATATGGTCGCAGGAAGAGACTAGCCAGGGAAGAGGCTTTCATGATGAAAGCCCAGAAGCTTGACGAACTAAAGGCCAGATTGGAGGCAGAAAAAATTATATTTTTGAAAAAGAAAGCAGCCATAATGAGTGAAATAGAAGTTGATATGAAAAAGTTTAATATTGACAAGGAAGAGTTGTTGAAAAAGGTTGAAGTAAAGAGACTTGAAAAGTTAGGTTTAAATAAGTAGTCAATTAAGAGTCACGAAAAACTTTGAAAAAAAATGTGATGAAACATTTACACATTTACATGATGTTTGCCATCAAATAGTTTTGCTAAAATTCTATGTTTGAAACTGATATATTCAGATAACAATTGAATGAGATTGCAAGGATAGATGTTGGATAGTACTTGTAACGTTATGTGTGTTGTACTTGTGGATTGAACTTCAGAGTTAAGAACAGTGACTGAATTGCCAAAATTAAATATCTTAACCTATATTCAAGATTACTGGTTATTTATGTAAAAAGTTAAAACAACTGCTGAAGAACCAAAAGGTCCGGACTAGAGTAACGATATTTGGCTGATAGCTTCCTTGGATGGAGCCAGACAAAGTTTGTAAAACATTACCATCTCTGAAGGTCATAGGGGTCAAATATGACAAAAACTTCTGACAACTTCTTATAATGAACTAAAAGTCAAGAGTCATGATATTTGTCAGAAAACTTCCAAGGTTGTATCACAACAAAGTTTGCAAATAAAAATATGATCTACTATCAAAGCCACAGGGGTCTAATATTTCAAAAAACATCAAACCACTTCTCTTGGAGAGCCAAAAACGTCTTTAGTCACTACCTTGTTGGAATATTTTAAAAAAGAAATAACCTTTAAAACCTTCTAAGAACTTACTCTATGCCAAAGAGTCCTATTTGTTCAATAGCTTGCTGTCGTATATTCCTACAAAGTTTGCAAAAGAAACGACCTTGACCTATACTCAAGACCACAAAAGTCAAATCCCGTCCAACCCTTCCCATCTTCTGAACAAGACTAGAAAGCCCAAAACTTATAATATTTTGTCTGCAGTTGGTTAACCTGTAATGCTTCACAGTATACTATAACAAATGATTGACCTGTTTTAAAGGTCACTGACATCAAATGTGTAAGCATTTTTTTAAAACCATTTCCTTGTACAAGGTCACATGGCTGTAATCCTATACCCGTTTCTAGGAAGACCTATCTACTAGTCCACTTTTCAAGCAGTATGCAAAGCCATTTATGTTCAGTATCAAACTAATGTTATGACACTGGAGGGAGTTGAGACATCAGGGACAACCCAAGTGAAATGGCAAAATTTAAAGCAACAAAAGCCTCGTGTTGACACTACTTTCTGTAAAGGCATTTGACCCCAGCACTCCCCAATCTGCAAGCCTTCATCATGTCTTTATGGTTTTAGAAAATAAAACAAGTGTCTGCAACTGAAAAAAAACAAGCAGAAAAACAAACAAAAATGGTGAGTTCAATCATTTTGGTCAAATTTATAAGTCCCATCACATCAATGTTATAATTTCATTGTAGCATTTAAATATTACAGACTAATTTCCACTTGCACTCCTAATTGCTTTACACATGTCAGGTGAGAGACATAAGCCCTGTTGGCCTCTTGTTGGAGCTGTTAGAAAAACATTTTATTCATCCATATAATTTTCATCACACCATAGAAGTTTCAAGATCTTAACTACTACTATTGTATATTTCAACTTTTAGACACAAGGGAGACAACTCTTATAAGTTTATGTCGAAATTTCATTGTCATGAAATAAAGTAAACCTCCACTGGTATGACCTACAACTTGTATTTTCGTACTTATTTCATTTCACTTAACAGAGCATTGTTCACTGATATTGCCACATATCAATTCCATTTTCCAACATCTAACGGTTTTTGAGTTTTGTTTTTGACCTAGACTTTATCTTTAGTAATTTGGTTTGTTAAAAACGGTCTAGTCCCTACATTGGGTTAAAAACGGTCTAGTCCCTACATTGGGTTAAAAATGGTCTAGTTCCTACATTGGGTTAAAAATGGTCTAGTCCCTATATTGGGTTAAAAACGGTCTAGTCCCTACATTGGGTTAAAAATTTTCTAGTTCCTACATTGGGTTAGGAATGGTCTAGTCCCTACATTGGGTTAAAAACGGTCTAGTCCCTACATTGGGTCAAAAACGGTCTAGTTCCTACATTGGGTTAAAAATGGTCTAGTCCCTACATTGGGTTAAAAATGGTCTTGTTCCTACATTGGGTTAAAAACGGTCTAGTCCCTACAGTGGGTTAAAAACGGTCTAGTTCCTACATTGGGTTAAAAACGGTCTAGTCCCTATATTGGGTTAAAAATGGTCTACTTCCTACATTGGGTTAAAAACGGTCTAGTCCCTACATTGGGTCAAAAACGGTCTAGTTCCTACATTGGGTTAAAAATGGTCTAGTTACTACATTGGGTTAAAAACGGTCTAGTCCCTATATTGGGTTAAAAATGGTCTACTTCCTACATTGGGTTAAAAACGGTCTAGTCCCTACATTGGGGTAAAAATGGTCTAGTTCCTACATTGGGTTAAAAATGGTCTAGTTCCTACATTTGGTTAAAAATGGTCTAGTTCCTACATTGGGTTTAAAACGGTCTAGTCCCTACATTGGGTTAAGAACGGTCTAGTTCCTACATTGGGTTAAAAATGGTCTAGTTCCCACATTGGGTTAAAAACGGTCTAGTCCCTACATTGGGTTAAGAACGGTCTAGTTCCTACATTGGGTTAAAAATGGTCTAGTTACTACATTGGGTTAAAAACGGTCTAGTCCCTAAATTGGGTTAAAAATGGTCTAGTTCCTACATTGGGTTTAAAACGGTCTAGTCCCTACATTGGGTTAAGAACGGTCTAGTTCCTACATTGGGTTAAAAATGGTCTAGTTACTACATTGGGTTAAAAACGGTCTAGTCCCTACAATGGGTTAAAAATGGTCTAGTTCCTACATTGGGCTAAAAATGGTCTAGTTCCTACATTGGGTTAAAAATGGCCTAGTTCCTACATTGGGTTTAAAACGGTCTAGTCCCTACATTGGGTTAAGAACGGTCTAGTTCCTACATTGGGTTAAAAATGGTCTAGTTCCTACATTGGGTTTAAAACGGTCTAGTCCCTACATTGGGTTAAGAAGGATTGTTTGATCCACGATGGGTTACTAAAGGTGTTAAATAAACTATAGCTGTATCAATGCCAGGGTTGCTCTACACATGTTGCTGATGCTGACCTGGATGTTATGATCCAGTGCCTGTCTCTGTACTGTACTGACTGTAACGATGGCTTCATTGTAACTGAGCATCTCATTTTGACATGTCAGCAGAGTCAGAAATATTGATAATGATATTTTCTTGCTAAATGAGAAATCCAAGTTGAATGAAGTGTGACATTTTTGCTCACCTACTCGCTCAGTAACATTGACAATGATCTTACTATGTATCCAACTGTTCTAAAGTAACAGTGTGCACAGAAATCGTATACTTGGTCCTGTTTGTGAAAAAAACAGGTCAATAAAAAAACAATTCTAATAATCTTCAAATGAAGTTTATTGAATAAAAAGAGTTGAAGCTGCCTTTTTAGGTTTTACATTAAAAAAAATAACAAGAAGTCAACAAAACAGTATTCTGACTTCATAAACATTCAACAAAATTGGACCTCTGACTCTATCAACATTTACATAACAGGCCCTCTGACTCCACCAACTTTTACATAACAGGCCCTCTGACTCCACCAACATTTACATAACAGGCCTCTGACTCCACCAACATTTCCATAACAGGCCTCTGACTCCACCAACATTTACATAACAGACCCTCTGACTCCATCAACATTTAAATAACAGACCTCTGACTCCATCAACATTTACATAACAGACCGCTGACTCCACCAACATTTACATAACAGGCCCTCCGACTCCACCAACATTTACATAACAGGCCCTCTGACGCCACCAACATTTACATAACAGGCCCTCTGACTCCACCAACATTTACATACCAGGCCCTCTGACTCCACCAACATTTACATAACAGACCTCTGACTCCATCAACATTTACATAACAGGCCTCTTACTCCAACATTTACATAACAGGCCCTCTGACTCTATCAACATTTACATAACAGACCTCTGACTCCACCAACATTTACATAACAGGCCTCTGACTCCACCAACATTTCCATAACAGGCCTCTGACTCCACCAACATTTACATAACAGTCCTTCTGACTCCACCAACATTTACATAACAGGCCTTCTGACTCCACCAACATTTACATAACAGGCCCTCCGACTCCACCAACATTTACATAACAGGCCCTCTGACTCCACCAACTTTTACATAACAGGCCCTCTGACTCCACCAACATTTCCATAACAGACCTCTGACTCCATCAACATTTACATAACAGGCCCTCTGATTCTATCAACATTTACATAACAGACCTCTGACTCCACCAACATTTACATAACAGGCCCTCTGACCCCATCAACATTTACATAACAGGCCTCTGACTCCAACATTTACATAACAGGCCCTCTGACTCTATCAACATTTACATAAAAGACCTCTGACTCCATCAACATTTACATAACAGACCTCTGACTCCACCAACATTTACATAACAGGCCTCTGACTCCATCAACATTTACATAACAGGCCCTCTGACTCCACCAACATTTACATAACAGACCTCTGACTCCACCAACATTTACATAACAGGCCTCTGACTCCATCAACATTTACATAACAAGCCCTCTGACTCCACGAACATTTACATAACAGGCCCTCTGACTCCATCAACATTTACATAACCGGCCTCTGACTCCACCAACATTTACTTAACAGGCCTCTGACTCCACCAACCATTACATAACAAGCCCTCTGACTCCACCAACATTTATTTAACAGGCCTCTGACTACACCAACATTTACATAACAGACCCTCTGACTCCGCCAACATTTACATAACAGGCCCTCGGACTCCACCAACATTTACATAACATACCTCTGACTCCACCAACATTTACATAAAAGGCCGTCTGACTCCACCAACATTTACATTACAGACCCTCTGACTCCACCAAGATTTAAATAACAGGCCCTCTGACCCCATCAACATTTACATAACAGACCTCTGACTCCATCAACATTTACATAACAGACCTCTGACTCCACCAACATTTATTTAACAGGCCTCTGACTCCACCAACATTTACATAACAGGCCCTCTGTCTCCACCAACATTTACATAACAGGCCTCTGATTCCATCAACATTTACATAACAGACCTCTGACTCCCCCAACATTTATTTAACAGGCCTCTGACTCCACCAACATTTACATAACAGGACCTCTGACTCTATCAACATTTACATAACAGGCCTCTGACTCCATCAACATTTACATAACAGACCTCTGACTCCCCCAACATTTATTTAACAGGCCTCTGACTCCACCAACCATTACATAACAAGCCCTCTGACTCCACCAACATTTACATAACATACCTCTGACTCCACCAACATTTACATAACAGACCCTCTGACCCCACCAACATTTACATAACAGGCCCTCTGACTCTATCAACATTTACATAACAGGCCCTCTGACTCCACCAACATTTACATAACAGGCCCTCGGACTCCACCAACATTTACATAACAGACCCTCTGACTCCGCCAACATTTACATAACAGGCCCTCTGACTCCACCAACATTTATTTAACAGGCCTCTGACTACACCAACATTTACATAACAGGCCCTCTGACTCCCCCAACATTTACATAACAGACCTCTGACTCCATCAACATTTACATAACAGACCTCTGACTCCCCCAACATTTATTTAACAGGCCTCTGACTCCACCAACCATTACATAACAAGCCCTCTGACTCCACCAACATTTACATAACATACCTCTGACTCCACCAACATTTACATAACAGGCCTCTGACTCCACCAACATTTACATAACAGACCTTCTGACTCCACCAACATTTACATAACAGACCTCTGACCCAAAAGTAACATAAATAGGCCCTCTGACCACATCAACGTTAACATAAATAGACCATATCAATTTTAACACAAATAGGCCCTCTGACCACATCAATGTTAACATAAATAGACCACATCAATTTTAACACAAATAGGCCCTCTGACCACAACAATGTTAACCTAAATAGACCACATCAATTTTAACACAAATAGGCCCTCTGACCACATCAATGTTAACATAATAGGCCCTCTGACCACATCAACGTTAACACAAATAGACCCTCTGATCACACATCAATGTTAACACAAATAGGCCCTCTGACCACATCAATGTTACCATGAATAGGCCCTCTGACCACATCAATGTTAACATGAATAGGCCCTCTGACCACATCAACGTTAACACAAATAAGCCCTCTGATCACACATCAACGTTAACACAAATAGGCCCTCTGACCACATCAACGTTAACATAAATAGGCCCTCTGACCACACATTAACGTTAACATAAATAGGCCTTCTGACCACATCAAAGTTAACACAAATAGGCCCTTTGACCACATCATCGGTAACATAAACAGGCCCTCTGACCACATCAGTGTTAGCATAAATAAGCCCTCTGACCACATCAACGGTAACATAAATAGGCCCTCTGACAACATCAACGGTAACATAAATAGGCCCTCTGATCACACATCAACGTTAACATAAATAGGCCCTCTGACCACATCAACGTTAACACAAATAGGCCCTCTGACCACATCAACGGTAACATAAATAGGCCCTCTGACCACATCAATGTTAACATAAATAGGCCCTCTGAGCACATCAACGTTAACATAAAAAGGCCACATCAACGTTAACACAAATAGGCCCTCTGACCACATCAACGTTAACATAAACAGGCCCTCTGACCACATTAACGTTAACATAAATAGGCCCTCTGACCACATCAACGTTAATATAAATAGGACCTCTGACCACATCAACGTTAACATGAACAGGCCCTCTGACCACACATCAACGTTAACACAAATAGGCCCTCTGACACATCAACGTTAACATAAATAGGCCCTCTGACCACATCAACGTTAACATAAATAGGCCCTCGGACCACATCAACGTGAACATAAATAGGCCCTCTAACCACATCAACGTTAACACAAATAGGCCCTCTGACACATCAACGTTAACATAAATAGGCCCTCTGACCACATCAACGTGAACATAAATAGGCCCTCTAACCACATCAACGTTAACACAAATAAGCCCTCTGATCACACATCAACGTTAACACAAATAGGCCCTCTGACCACATCAACGTTAACATAAAAGGCCCTCTGATCACTCATCAACGTTAACATAAAAGGCCCTCTGTTCACACATCAACGTTAACATAAATAGACCCTCTGATCACACATCAACGTTAACATAAATAGGCCCTCTGACCACATCAACGTTAACATAAATAGGCCCTCTGACCACATCAACGTTAACACAAATGGGCCCTCTGACCACATCAACGGTAACATAAATAGGCCCTCTGACCACACATCAACGTTAACACAAAAAGGCCCTCCGACCACATCAACGTTAACATAAAAGGCCCTCTGATCACACATCAACGTTAACATAAATAGACCTTCTGATCACACATCAACGTTAACACAAATAGGCCCTCCGACCACATTAACGTTAACATAAATAGGCCCTCTGATCACACATCAACGTCAACAATCATAGACATCTCTATTGTTTGAGTTACCTCTAATTGAATTATCTCCCATGTTTCCATTCCCAGTTTTCTCCCATTTTGAGATTTATTGCCCCTAGATACCACTTAGTTGTTACCATTGAGCGTAGCATACATGTAGCTTAAGCGGGCCGGAATGAAACTGAACATCATGTGATTTGTGATACCAACCAAGATATGCTTGTTTTGTTCACCGCCGCTCAGTTCATATGGCACTTGTAGTATGCCGTGTTCTGTAAATTACTACGTCAGGAAAAGTGCACAGCCAAACCTGGATTCGAACCCGGGACCCTCCGAACTGTAGATGGATCGTCTAACTAATTGGAGTACCTGGTCGCCGGCGTCCGACCAGTACCTCTACACTAATACTCCATTTTCAAGTATTTGTCCTCGAAGACAAAACAAGTTACAACCAAGGTTCAGATAACCCCAGAGAAGCTAGCACCAAGTACTTCAAACAAGGGTTGGTTACAGGCACCATTGTAAAGGGGGCACGCTGGGAATCGAACCCATCCATCCGAACTCGAGACGTACGCTCTAACCTGGTCACCGGCGATCCACCCAGTCCAGTTCCGCTAAACAACATTTACATAACAGAATTGTTATTTCTCAGAAGCGTTGATATGTTAACCGCTAAGACCAATAGTTACACGTACAAAATCTTATATTAAAATAGGTCTTACTGATAACCACATGGATCTCATTGCAAACCACTAAGCAGAGAATGTGTGACTTTTTGTGTTCGACATCATCATCAGTGTTCGGGAAATATGAGCTTGAGAGGCAATTCACACTCGTATACTACCATTTCGCCTGCCTCTAGAATCTAGTTATTAAATTACTATTCCTCTGTCCCTATCACATATAAAATTGCACAAACTCATTTCAAGGACGTGGACAGTTCTCCCGCAGCACAACGTTAACTGCTGTCGCCTTTTCTATAACGAAGTCTGGACGACCTGCTTGATGTATTGCCGAGGCACGTAGCCGTATGCCTTGGTTCGGGGGGAAAATACCCAAACCCAGTGGGCATTACCCCGACTCCGCCCGTCATCATACACGCTATCCCCTCGGCGGACGGTCAGGTCGTCTTGTGAGCGCGCTGTATAGTCGTACAACAGAACACATTCATTAACTTTGTCATCCACTGCGAAATAACGCTCTCTGTCCTCATCTGCTTGTTTCGGCAGGAATGGCACATTTGCATATATGCTGTCCTTTTTACTGTCAATTGGTTTTGGTGCCGCATTCAGGTGTGAGTTTTGTGTGATTTTCTTGTCCGTTGATTGGTTTGGCGAGTTTGACATGTACGTGTTAGTAACAGGTCTAGGCGACACGGGACCGAATCTTTTGCTCACTTTAACTTGTTGATCGTATTTCATTGCGTCGGTTTGGGAATGGTGACTGGCTTCAGCTCTAGCTATAGGCGTTCCTGGCAAAGATGAGGCACAAGCGGGATCGTCAAAGTCACTGTCGGTTGCGGATTGTTTCCTCTGTGGTTTGAATGTGGACGGCAGACTAGTCTCCCGCTGTACGTTCTGTGTGAGGAGCTGACTGATTGACCGCGTTGGAGGACTGATGGAGATCACGTGGGTTGTTGGAGGTGGAAGTGTAGACGTAGAATCACTGAAGGAATATCCAGCATTAGCCATAACATTACTCAGTGTTCCCTGCTGGTAACTAGTCGTTCCCCGATTGCTATTTACTGCGTCGCTGCTAACATATGTCTCTGAAAGGTTTACATTTGTAATTTTTGACGACCATTTTGCGTTTGCCGTCACATTTAGAACAGGTTGTGACCGGTACGGATGGCCTGTGCGCATGTTGTTAGATGTCCTTTGGTGGATTTTTGGCGCTGGACCAAGCCCGGATGTGGAGGAGGACGCGGACATGCGACCTGTCGTGCTGCTTTGGCGACTGTGTCCTCCATTTGCTGCCTTCTCTGGAACAGATAGAACAGACGACCTGTAAGTCATATTCTGTATTATTTCGTCTAAAGTAAACCAAAGTGCTAGGAATTTACCTTAATACAGTGATGTCCCTGAGGGACCATTGGAGCTGCACTAGATGCTAGTGTTTTGTTTTACTGTAAACTATTCGCTACACCGATAGCAATACTTGGTACAAGAGTTGCTTTCACATGAGATTACAGTTTGGTCAACATATGTAATCTGACAATTTATCAATCTGGAACCACGGTCCACGTTTTAACTGAATTTTGTTGCAAGTGTAACGTGTACAAGACGTGGTATTAAATGTTCCCTTGGTAACGTACTGATATGTCCCTTAGAGTGGTTGATATAGTAGGATCCACTCGACCCATTATACTTACCTATTGCCTTGAGGGGCTCCACGGGGCAAATGTAAGACTTTGGCACGAACCCTTCACAGCCGTCGTAGCGGCGGATCCATGACCAATCTGGGTCCTCAATGTTCAGGACATCTACGAGTTCTGCACGCTCCACGTTTGTGTCATTCTCGTCGAGGGCAGAGAAATCGAACAGCGCAATGAACTGGCCGTGGGACGTCTTCCGAAACGGCCTTACATCTGGTTTGTTATTTTCCTCTGTAACTGGTGGCGGAGGTTGTAATATTCGTATCATTTCTTCGCGAGTGATGATTCCCCTTTGAGTGGTCGGGTCGTTTTGTTTTGGTTCAGAATCCTGTTTCGGAGATACCAACGCCCATTCATCGGTTGAAAAGGAATCGCTTTCCTGGTAACTAAAGTCACAGTGTGCAGCTGTCCGGTTAGAAATGTCTGAGGAGATTGATTCTGGACCAAACAACCTCGTACAGTACAAATACGGAATAAAACCCTCCTCGCCGTTTCGTTTGATGACGTATGCCCAGTCGTTCTCCTTATATAACAGATACACTTCATCTCCACGTTTGACGGCTACCTCTTCATCCACACATGGTTGGAAGTCCGTAATGACCCTGACCTTTGACTTCGGTGACAGACCGCTGTCTTTTTCAAGACCCACGCGCTGCAGGGTGTCGATGCTGTCACTTCCGGTTATCCTCCCAGGAAGGTCTACAAAAGGCTTGTCTGCAACAACATGAAGGTCATACATTAGATATGTAAACAACAGATATATCCTTATAGAACACAAATCCAGCCCAGAACATGCCCAATCCCACTGTATATCTACTGTTGAGGAAGTATGTACGTGCTTATACTCATTTAGATAATATAGATTTATTTCCTAGTATAGGAGACAACTCCGGTTGAGCCCT